ACAGAGTCTGTCTGCTTCCTGAACAATGCTAGGAAGATTGTTCCAGAGTTTAGGTGCCAAATAGGAGAAGGATCTACCGCCTGGGGTGAAATGGACTCATATATAGTATGCATACTGTACGTAACGTCCCCTATAGAAACTGACCATTACTTGTGTAGCATCTGGACCAATCAGACACACCATTTTTCATTTGATTTAACAAATTCATTCATTAGATTAACAAACGTTCAGAGACCCCTCACCCAATAAACATACTGGGTGCCAAGTTGTCGGTGAACAAGGCCCAGGACCCTGGTTACCATGGAAACCCTGACACCAGATACATTTACGACCTAATGGCATGTTGAGAATTACCCCTCTCACTACACTTTCCATAGCAGAGACACAATTCACAGTAAAAATGGACTCTTCTCTAATTAATTCATAGGAAACCTTTCTTTGAATGAACACACATTTCCTTCTGGTCATTGTGCATGTTGTCTTTGAGATTTTATACTGTTTTATGATGGAACCATTCATTCCTGTCATCATGCCTATATGTAATCCTACCATGTTTAGTATCTATGAATTCACCTTCTGATGATCTAAACGAGCGTGTATATTATATGTTGGTACATAGGCAATATATTAGTGTCCTGAGAATCTTTAGTAATTTCGATTCAAGTTCCATTTGCAAATTACCATGCCCTCACACACACAGGGTCGTAAAACCCTCCAGCAATTGTCACCTCCAGCTTGGAATTTCAGCCTCTCATATTGGACAACCCCATCTTGAGAGGCGGGAATCTTCTCAGACCTTAAAGGCCTCACACCAGTGACCCGCCCCGAGTCGGTGGTTCTGTTAGGTTTTGAGAAGATGTGAGCTACAACGCTCCAGGACATCCTATGTTTTGTGCCAGGCCTTCGGCCTTGGCTTTTCCATTCACCAAGTTTCTGACGCAAAATGGTTCTTTTTCATCAACCAACTTCAGCAAAGATCAACTTGAACCTTCAGATTGCATCAATCCTCTCTTTCAGACAGATGAGATGTGCAAGTATTCAAACTTAGTCTTATTAATTGATACATTAGGTATCATTTGCACCTTTTTACAAAGGTGTGTTTGAATTAAGAATCTGATATTCCCTTCAGGCTGTAAATCTGCTGAATATGCAAATGGTTCCATAACTTCATTCCATATTTCCTCTTTACTGCTTAAGCTTTAACCCTGTTCTATACCAACTGTATGCACGTGTATGTATATGTGTATGTTAGACTAGTTTAAGTAGTTAATAAAGTCTTAGTTGGATCACACTTGACGTTGTTCATTGTTTGCTCATAACTGGAGTCACTTAATCATGCAGATTTATGCTACAAGCTCGGTGTAGAATTGTACAGTAAGAAAGTTATTTCCCTTAACCAGGAAATTAATGTTCTTAGAATTGACAGACAGTTGACCCTGAGAGGTCAAGTAAATATCTACAGCGGATCTAAATTTATAATTAATTATAACTAGTTATGATTAATTAATATTTCCCCATGAGCTGATTTGCTACACTTGTTTCTACTTATTTGAAATTAGGTCTTTATAGATGTAGAATAAATGTCATACTATATCTCCCAAAAGCCGCAGTAAAATGGTTTCCTATGACATGTGTATACAGTATGGGACATCCCATATAAGAACTGACCATTGTTTTTTCCTACTTATTAGAAATGGGATCTTTATACTCCTCTAAAGTGTGATAATGTCCCTTATCTTAAAAACGCTGCAGTAAAATGGTTTGATACGAGTTGTGTATATAGTATGGGATGTCCCTTATAAGTACCGACCATTCTTTTCTTCTACTTATTAGAAATAAGGTCTTTATAGCCTTCTAAAAAGTGTAATATTATCCTTTGAAAATTATAGTAATACATAAGTCAAAGACAACAACAAATTACAAGAATATTAAAGTAGACAGGCAAAAAAAAAAAAAAAAAAAAATTCTGGGCGTCTAGATGAAAAGCGCTCTGAAAGCGCGTTCCCTCTGTGTTGTTCCTGCTATTACCGTAATTATAGTAATACACGCGCACCATAATTTCACTCGCGGCTGGCTTGACCGTGTTTTTCTGAAGTGCGGCTGGCTTGACCGCAGTAGTTGTGTTCATTTGTTTCGATTTCTCCATGAGATCGTCTCATGTGAGTCTCAACTGCCGCGACCTTGTTACTATTGATTATCCATTATGAATTGCCGTTTACATCAAGTATAATAAAATCAGAATCATTCTTCCCAAAATTTTGGTGCTTCCCTAATTCGATGTTTTAATTAGATTAGTTGTCCCGTCGGTAGTGATGCGCGGATGGCGGTTATATTCGCGGGCACTGCGGATAATCCGGGGATCGGGTGCTCGGGTAATAATAAAAAAAAAATAAAAAAATAAAAAAATAAAAAAAATTGCATTCTGATTATTTGCGGGTGGATAAAATAAATATGCAAGTATTAACTACATTTTCTAAATTATGAACGTGTTTTAAATAGGCTACAGATATTGAATAAACTGGTAATTAACATGAAAAGTTATTCAACAAAACGTAGTCAAGAGCAGTAAGGGATTTTCTCTGTCTTTTGTGGTTTGATTAACATTAATAAAAGACGGCACAGCTTTATTAGGCTGCTGTCACAAGACTTATTTCACGGATCCAATACTGATACCCGTTTTATTTTGCAACCGTTTACATTAACTTAAGACAAACCCGACATACTTTCTCAATTTGGTACTCGCAGTACGCGCTTTGGATGTGACTGTGAGCGCACGCGCCTCTGGAGAGCGCGAGTACCGAATGGCTTAAAAAGACGTAAAAATAATAAATTGTGACGATGCAACAATGACCGATTAGGCAACTGACAATTCTGCCAACTGTCCCGAAACGCGAGCTAAAGTCTTCTATCGCAGTGTGCAGCAGCTCTAGATGCCTCGATGTGAAGCGAAAGTCAAAGAGAGAAGACGCGATACAGCTGAATCACTCACGCTGTTTTCATTTGATGTTTTGTGTGGATTTATTCATTCATCTAACCTACACGCTATATTGAATAAAGGTTTTGCAGTTATTTCCCTCATTTTAAAGTCGAAAGCTGTGGGAATGAGTAATGCGATGTATGCGCAATCCCGCAACGAAATTCAGGATCTGATTAAACAATTCTATTATACAGAGAATTGTGAAATAGATTTATGACTTTTCAAAAACTTGAGTTTATTTATTTTTACAAAACTTTCTAGGCCTGGAAATTGCCGTTCAATGACTTTTCCAGGTTTTTCCATGACCGTACGAACCCTAATGTGATGATCGGGTGCGGTTATCTAAATCAGACAAAAATACAGGTGCAGGCGGTTGGATAATTTATTTGAAGCTGCGGATTCGGGTGACGTTTTAGCTCATCCGCGCATCACTACCGGTCGGGCAAGTAAAATTTTCACTTGCCCCTTCAAAAAAAAAAAAAAAAAAAAAAATTCACTTTACACTTAAGTACTTTTGTTAATATTTATACCTCTGCGATTATGGTATCTTTCTTTAATTATCTGAAATGTCTGCTAGTAAATATTACGCTAGCATATCGGTTCATAATCATACTGAGCACTGAACGTCTTGTATGCTTTCATTCATATTTCGCTGTGCACTCTGTGTTTTTATTAATAATTTGGGTGTATTTTACCGTTCATATGTGCGTTTTTCAAAATAAGTATACTGAATTCATTTCGATTGTGTATTCATCGTTTACAGCGGTTGAAACAGCCTTTAAAATTAGTTTGGGCAAATGAGGACATAAATTAGGTTAAATTACTGCATGTCCGCCCATTAGAAAATAAATAATTACCAACTGATTACCAGCACACAACTATTGAGCTATTGTTACTAACTGGCAACGTCATAAAGTTACATTGTGGCGACGAAACTTGGAATTTTACTTTTCCGGTTGCCCCAGCTAGAATTTGTTTTGTTCTAAAAATGTTCTAAGAACATTACCATGTGTGATCGCGACCTGCTCGGATTATACCCCAGATAAACACCCACATTTATAAGCCTCCCGGTAGCAGGCTTTCAAATAAAATGAAAAGGACAAGCAGGAACAATGCCACAGGATCACAAGTTTATTCATCAAGCACTACTAAAAACATTGAGCTCAACATTCATAAGAAAAGACACTTTACACCTTAAGTCAACTACTTGGCTTAAGTCAAACTAGCATTCATTGGCAGCGGAGATGTCCAAATACCTTGCTTATGGGGCACCAAAGAGACACTATATAAACAGCCCAATGGCTTTGGTTTAGTACGACCAAATGAACCAGCCACCCCTATGCTCACACAAAAAAATGACAACGACAAATAATAGCAATGAACTAGGGCTGCACGATAAATCGCATGCGATATTTAACGCGCATTTTGTCAGTAAAGCCCTTCTGTAATCAGCGGTAAATCTCCATCACGTGCGTGCTTTCACATTGAGCAGCATTAACTACACAGAGCCGTTGTTCACTGACTAGCTGCGCCAAACCACGTTCACATTCGTGCGATTTTTGGCGCAGCTAGTCAGTGAACAACGGCTCTGTGTAGTTAATGCTGCTCAATGTGAAAGCCCGCAGGTGATGGAGATTTACCGCTGATTACAGAACCGGCTTTCTGACAAGATGCGCGTTAAATATCGCATGCGATTTATCGTGCAGCCCTACAATGAACATACCGTTACACCAAACATTAGATACAGGCTCAAATCACAAACCAAGAGTGAAGAAAAATACAATTTAAACAATCCAAACCAACCAACAAAAACATTCACTACTTCAAACCAACACAACATAATACATCATAAAAGAGAAAAAAAATAAAAAAATCACCCCAAAATAAACCATAAGTTCTCAGTCCCTTAACTGAGCAATATCAATGCAAGGCAAGACAAAGAAATAATACCCAACCAACCCCAATAACAAAATTCAAACAAACACCCAAATACAATAAAACAAACCAAACAATAACAAAATAAAAAACTTAAATCCAACTCAAAGGCGCGCGCGCGCGCGCGCACTCTCTCACACACACACGAGCAACAGTCGGAACACCACAAATCAATATACTGGCAGCCGACCACCAGGTGGCAGCGGAACAAGAGGCAACGGTCTTGCGTCTCCAAAGCAAGCGATGTACAGAAAATAGCGAACTTAAGGCGTTCAAAGCAACAGTGCGCAAGCAACAATCCGGCGTCCCAAAACTGGAACCGGTATATAAGCCACAACAAAGCAGCAGCTGGCGACTTCTGCAAAACAACAATATACATTTTTCTTCTGCTTCTCTCTCTCTGCTTTTCTCCCCTCAAACATTTTAGAATAAATAAGGTAAAAGAAAATTTACCTTTCATGCGCATGACACTTACATACTCGCTAACAATGCCTGGACACACACGACTAATCTAAAATTACATGAAACAACAAACACATGAATCAAAATCCAAATTAAATTAAATTAAATTAAATTAGTCCCCCCAACACCCATATTCTAAATTTATAATTCATTTTTGTCAAAAAAAAACGTTATAAACACCAACCATACCTTTCCAGAGGAGTGAGGAAAACGACCCACACACCCGGTCACATCAGTGCAATGCCACGAGGAAACTGAAATCTCACCTGTGTCTATACAATTAGGTGATTACCTGACATGAAATCTCACCTGTGTCTATATAATTACGTGATGACCTTACGTACCAACCCACCACGCACTCCACGTACCATTCTTAAAGGGGCCATGCTACTACACATGGATTGTTCTAGCAATGTTTTTAGCGGGTAGTTTTATTTTTGTTCCCAGAACCTTCTCCTATAAGTTAGGATAACATTCTCTAAAAACATTCTAAAAATGTTTAGTGATAACATTGTTAGAACATCATTCCCTAATAGTCTTATAATGTTTTTGGTGGGTAGTTTTATTTATGCTCCCAGAACGTTCTCTCAAAAAAGATAGGATAACATTCTCTAAAAACATTCTAAAATTGTTTAGTGACAACATTGTTAAAACAGTATTCCGTAACATTCTTATAAAGTTTTTAGTTTTATTTTTGTTCTTAGAACGTTCTTCTAAAAAGGTAGGATGACATTAACTAAAAACACTCTAAAAAAGTTATGTGATGACCTTCTATAAATGCTTAGTCACAACATTAGAACGTTAGTTCTAACGTTAGAACATTATCCCCTAACATTTTAGCGGGAAGTTTTATTTTTGTTCCCAGAATCCTAAACACTCCAAAAAATGCTTATCAAAAATATCAAAATCTAACAGGTTTATAAAGGGCATCCACTTAATTTATTAGTAATTTTACAAACAGTAAATGCTCAGCATCACATGTTGAAAAACTCAGTAAAGTGCAGTACATAATCAAGCGTCTGACTGTTGTTTGCTCAGAGTGCTCATCATTGTCTTTACATGTTGTGGTTCTTGCAGAAAAATAATACAGTCATCTGTATTAATAGGTGTTCAACTGTTCTCCTCCAGTTTTCCAGCTGCTCTCCCAGTTAGTAGCACTGAGCTCTATTATCTGTGAGCATGATAGAGTTCTTCCTCATAGCCTATAACAGAGGAGCATGCAACAGTGTAAACAGAAAGAATACAAATACATATTACATCTTAAGATCACAAACAATACTGAAAACTTTCTAAATTAGCCAGCCTAATTAGTATTCAGAAACTATGTTTATTTATAGAAAGTATACATATAACACCTTATGAGTATCTATATCAGTGGTTCTCAAACTTTTTTGGTCACGCCCCCCTTTAAACCTATAAAAAAATCTGGTGCCCCCCTTTTACCGAATTCCCATCCCACCTCAGACTACCAAATAATTTCACTAAACATTATGAAAAATTAATGCTTTTTTAATGTAAAAAAACCTACAGGGAAATCACTTGCATCACTTGAAACATTGAAAAAGTGCATAGAGAGAATAACTGTTATTATTGTTATTATTCTCTCTGTTATTTATTTATTTTTTGTGGATTTCATGCTGTCCGCTAAGGCATAGGACACACACAGGCTTTCCTCCTCACCAACGACATTAAACACTGTGTCTACACCGGACGTGAGCGGTAAAATACAGTAGAACCCATTATAATCAGTGACGCTGTCTACACTGGATGCGGCGTGGTGCGACATGACAAAACCCAACATTAAACTGATGTTTTGTTCTATTTATGACGTACTGACACAAAGTTAAAATGATTTGCAATGGTCGCTTTGTCACATCCAGTGCCTCGTCATATTTTCAGCATTTAGCTTTTGAACGACCAGCACCTGCCTGGGTCTGTGTGACTTAATCTATGGCTTTTCTCTTCCCTTTCAAAAAACGATCCATCTCCTATACTAAGTTACGTCCTTTGGCTGTTTACTGTTTTATTTCTTTTCTTTTTCTGCTGATGGCCCGCGCCCTCCCTGCAATACTCTGCCGGAACACTTTGAGAACCACTGATCTATGTTGTTTCTATAATTTAAAACACATCTACATAATCCATTATACATTAATAACACAACTAGAGGCCAAATTTGTGAACAAACTTTGACATTGGCTGGCTTGAAAAGCCTGAACCTTGAGCCGAGACTTGAACTCGGGTCACCTTGTGCACAGCTGTAATACATGTCAGAACGTGGGTCACAAGGCTAGGCTATTGCTCCGACATAACAGCTAATTTTCATCATTTATTTTGTCTATGGATCATAACATTTCTTACAGATTTCTGCTCATTTGAAATCAGATATAAAGTGGCACTGTATTTGAATGCATGAGTGCCAGTGACTTTTCTCAAAAAAAGTGACAAAAAAAGTTGCAATTGTCAAATTCTGACAGGAAAAATGTCCGCTCACAATTCTGGCATTTTCTTGCAACTGTGTGTTTATACAATACAGTTCTGAGGAAAGGGGAAAAAAAGAAAATAACTGAGAATTATATCAGGGTGTCTGTCTACAGACCTTTTTAATACCACCTTTCGTGAAATTTAAGACCAAACCTGTGATGGAAATACACAATATATTACATGCATGTGTGATTATTTAATGCATTCTAATTCTGATTCTGATTTAATGTTAAAAGAAAACAAAATATCCTCCTGAGACCTAAGCATAGCATTTTGTTTTATCTTCCATTACATAGTTGAGAATCATCTTTATACAAAGTTTGGTTAACGAGAATCCTGAAACCTAAAAATTGATTGGTGAATGAAAAAAAAACTCAATTGATTTTGCCTATACATGTCTTTTCATGTCATTTTATTTTATTTATTTTTTGAACAAAAATAAAATGTCCCGTACAGTGTAATGTAATGACAATAAAAGCCTAATTTCACAAAACTTTCCCCCCCGGTTATCAGGATGATATCCTCACTGTCAAAAATGCTATTATTACCATACAATGAAATTTTCATATCAGCAGACAATATCCCATACAAAATATCCTTACAAAAGCACTACATCACCAATATTTTTGGTGGCATAAACATAAGAAGTTATATTTTCATCAGTGCTCTATCAGCTTTTACGTACTTAAATCTTCTTATTTTTTATATTTACTCCAAGATGTTATTTACCTTAAAAGGGTCATATGATGCTTTTTTAAAGATCATTATTTTGTTTATTTGGTGTAACAGAATATGTTGACATGCTTTAATGTTAAAAAAACACATTATTTTTCAAATACTGTACATTATTGTAGGTCCTCTTTGCCCCGCCTCTCTCAGATGCTTAGTTTTCTACAAAGTCTTCCAACAAGCGCAGTCTGCTCTGATTGGCCAGCTGACCCAGTGCATTGTGATTGGCCGAACACCGCATGTATGTAACGCCCCTTACCATAATCGCAAGCTTCATCTTTCAAAATAAATGTAAAGACAGAGCCCGAAAGGGGAACAGAGTCGCGTGACAGACACAGCCCTTACCATAATCGCGAGCTTCATCTTTCAAAATAAATGTAAAGACAGAGCCCGAAAGGGGAACAGAGTCGCGTGACAGACACAGTGATGAAGCTGGTATATGTTTGCAGTACACAAGCCACGGTTAAGACAGCTGACTCCACTGTGATGTGACCCCTCTCTCTCTCTCTCGCGCTCTCTCTCTCGCTCTCGCTGTCTCTCACTCGCTCTCTCTTGCACACACACACACACACACGATGCGCAAAACTCCGCATTTGAACAGTCAATAGCAAATACTTAAACTAATAACAAAACAGTAGCTGATTCAGAAGCGCAAGATTGTCATAGCAAAGTCAGAATTACCTCCTCTCCTAGGTTCACGAAACGGTCGTCCATAAAATGCATTGCTGTTCTGTTGTAAGTAATCTTAAAGATTTCTAAATGCATCTACTTTCGGAAAGCAAAATAAAGTACTTTTGCTTTCGCCTAGAAACACACAGCGTCTCCCTGACATGGCTGCTTCAAAACTAACTGCGGTTACTGAAACCACGCCTTCTTTCTTTGCGTGCACATTTGGGCGGCATTATGCAAATATTTCCACATAGTGAGGTAGATATGTGGGGACATGTTAGAACGAGCTGTTTTAGGGGGGCGTGGCAGAGTCTTAACTTTGATAAAGAATATCTCTTTGGTTTTGAGACTTTAGTCTTTGCAACTTCAGGGGTCTTATCTATACACAATCAGCTTGTAACACTGCAAAGAGAAAGGAAAACTTGAAATCGCATCATATGACCCCTTTAATAAAGGCCAATATTTTTTAACCTTATTAAATGTATGCATCATCTGGCCATCGTTACCAATCAAATTAAATTTACAGTGCAAAATTACAACTGCAATAAATGTTTAATAGGCCTATATAAAAAAGATATGCTGAGGAAAAAAATCATACTTTTAAATACACTAAACCGCCAGTAGATGATGGGAATTCACTTATTTAACTGATTGGTTGGTTCAAAACGCTGTACTGAAACAATGCGGAGTGTTGCTTGGAGAATGACATACTTCTGCTGTCATCTTTCTTTGGAACTGTTTTCATTGGTGAAACAGAACAAAACAGTCAATATTGTGTCTAAAATGTACTTGTTTGTTGAACTAAAATCAAGGTAATATTTGCACTCGTAAAAATATTCAGCAAAATAGTTCCCTTGTCATGGTATGTTACTTAAATTCATCATGTTAGAAATAAACTAAACATGTTGAATTTTTACCTCAGTATGTTTCTATGAATGCCGTTACACATTTCATTTCTCCATGAAAATCTCTCACAAACAATCAGGCAGCGCAAGCCTCAACAACAGCTGTTTGCGCTGAATTAAAAAAATCAAAAGAATAATTTTAACCCAAGGCCACCGATGAAATCCGAGAGCTCTCTGACCCTCCATAGACAGCAACGGTACTACCACCACGATCAAGGCACAGAAACATGGTAAGGACGTCGTTAAAATGGTCCATGTGACATCAGTGGTTCAATCGTAATTTTACGAAGCTACGAGAATACTTTTTGTATGGCACAATACAAAAAAATAAAACACTTTATTCAACAATTCTTCTCCTCAGCGTGTGTTCCGAAGATGAACGAAGGTCTTACGGGTTTGGAACGACATTAGGGTGAGTAATTAATGACCGGATTTTCATTTTTGGGTGAACTATCCCTTTAAAGCTCTAGAAGGAGTTAATATATTATATTATTAAAATATAATAATAATAATATTAAGTTTAAATAAGTAAACAATATGCAATATACAATGACAT